ATCCTATATATTCAATGTGTGGCCAAGTCTTGTAATTTCTACCTCCACAACACCTTTCACATATGTCCCCTTTTCTCCATACAACCAGGCAATCACCTCACACCTGGCAACAGCCCTCTGGTTTGTCTCTGTACTTCAGGGCTCTTCCCACTACAATCCATCCTGTACTCATTTTCCCAAGGCATGTTCCTCCCAGCCTCTACTGAGTACTACATTTTATCCCCTGGACTTGGGTGATCTCCCTTCTCACCCCCACTGTATAGAAGTTCTGACTTCTTCCAAAGTACAGCTCAGGTACCAAGTCCTACAGGAGACCCTTCCTACTATCCTTCTCCTCCAATCCTTAATAGCACTCTCCCTTGAAATAATTTTGTATTGCTTTTCCTGACCCACCCTTTAGCCCTGAACTAAACAAAATTGAATCCATTCTGATGTGTGTTCTTAGAAGACAAACACAATCCAAGTAAGCTAGGGAAGGATAGGATAGTAGTGCAGGCAAGATTAGTCCCCAGGTGCAAACCCTCCACTGATGCCTAGTAGAAGCATCCCTACTTGCTCCAGAATGTCTCCTCACCTGAGAGAAGAGAGCCATGGGAAATCAGGGCAGAAACCCTGGCTCCAACAGCACTACTGGGACCAGAAGAAGCTTTCTGAACTGCATCTCTACCTCCCTTCCCACCTACCCCCCAAAAAAGCTGGACCTGGCATCCACTTGGAGAGGTGATTTTTTCTCAGTGGCTACCACATTCTCTTCTGAGGGAGACTCTGTGTTCTATGGAAATTCAATGAAGTACTCATTTATAAAAGATTATCTTGAGATCATTGTTGTAGAAAGGGTAGCCCATCCCTTCTCTCCGCTGAGAAGGGAGTTGTAGTTGGAGAGGGAAGACCAGTCTTAGTCTATAAATCCCTCCTCCCTCCTCCATTGGTACCCAGAAGAGTACGTGCCTCTTTCCAGAAAACCCCCTTTACAAGGTTCTAAAATACTTGTTATTTAGATATATCATAACAGCACTTACATAAATGTTGTTATTGTTATAAATTGTTGTTATTAATATATTATTATTATCATAAATGCTATTGTTGTTCAGTTATTTCAGTCACGTCCAACTCTTTGTGACTCCATTTGGGGATTTTCTTGGCAAAGATACTGCAATGGTTTGCCATTTCCTTTTCCAGCTCATTTTACAGATGAGGAAACAGAAGTAAACAGGGTTAAGTGATTTGCCCAGGGTCATATTGCTAGTAAGTGTTTGAGACCACATTTGAACTCAGGTCTTGCTGACTCCAGGCCTGTTGCTCTATCCACTGCACCACCTGGTTGCTATTACTATTAGGTATTATTAAACCTAGGATGGACTATATTCCTCTCATCCAAGGACCAGCCAAAAATGTTAAATCTCTATCTGCCTCAGTTTCTTCATCTATAAAAATGGGGTTAATAATAGCATTGACCTCCCAGGGTTATTGAGAGAATAAAATGAGATAATATTAGCAAAGCACTTTGCAAACTGTAAAAATTTATATGAATATTATGTATAATATAATATGATATAATATGACATGATATAATATGACATGATATAATATGACATGATATAATATAATATAATATAATATAATATAATATAATATAATATAATATAATATAATATAATATAATATAATATAATATAATATAATATAATATAATATAATATGATATAATATAATAAATATAATTATTAGGTATTACCACATCTAAGGATATTTCCCTCACCCAAGATTCAGCCAAGCTATGTTTGGGGAGGCACATTACCAGAAGTTTTTATTTTTGGTTTTTTTGGTTTTGTTTTGGTTTTTTTAGGGCTAAGAGCTTCATTGGAAGAACTGGTATTCCCACAGATTAAATCATTAACCCTTTAAGTACTGAAAATTGATATATAAACAGAGAGATACTGGCATGGCATAGTGGGAGAAAAACACTGGATTTAAAGTCAGAAGAACTGAATTTTAATCCTAATTCTATTATTTAATATATGTATGGCTATAGGCAAGTCACTATGCTATTCTTGGTTTCATTTGTAAAATGAAAGATAAGACCAGATGACTTCTCTAAAATTCCTCCCCATTGACTAGTAAGCAAAACCCAGAAACCAATGTGCACAGCTGTCTAGTGTTTGATAAACCCCAAAATACAAACTATGACTGTATTTGACAAGAACAGCTGGGAAAACTGGAAAGTATTTTGATGAAAACTAGGTTCAAAGCATTACCTTACTGTTTATACCACAATAAATTCCAAATGGTTAAATAATCTAAATATAAATGCCATAAAAATCAGAGGAGAAGAGAAAATCATATCTTTCATTAGGGGTGGGGGAAAATTCCCAACCAAAGGAATATGAGATAAAAGACAAAATAAACTAACTTTAATTATGTAAAATTTTAAAGCTTTTCCATAAATAAAATAAATTCAACTAGAATCAGAAGATATGGCCTGGGGGAAATCTATGAATGAAATAACTCAGATACGAGTCTAACATGCAATATTTGTAGGGAATTTATACAAATATATGAGATTAAGAGCCATTCTCAAAAAGAAAAGTGGTCAAAGGATGTAAGAGAACAATTTCCAAAAGAAAGATAAGCCTCTGGTAAAAATCTAAAATTCCTTTCAGTGCTAAAGCCTGTTATCTGATGGTGGATCCTCCTAGGGGTTTACCATAAGCATTCCTGTCTCTCCAAGCAACAGCCAGTGGTGCTACTGTTTCCTCCTTTCCCTTGACCCCATTAAATATTTGGCTCCTGCAAACAAAAGCCAAAACAAAAGGATTCATGTGAGGAGGATAGAGTAGTGGTTAACCTTCCCTTCTGCAATCCAGAAAACAAGGTTTGGGGCAATGATAATGATCATAAGCATTAATTTCCACACATTTGCTGACTCAGCAATAAACGGAGAGATGAAGAAATTGTCAGCCTAGAATGGAAAGGGCAGAGATGCAAGTACACCTCTCCCACCAGGTAAATGGAAAATTCAAAGCCTGTGGCTCCTTCTGCTTCAGGGAAGTAGATCAAATAAATGAAGATAAGAAAGAGGCAGTCAGTAGGCACGCTAGTCCTGGGAATAAAGCAGTGAACTGTGTTCTACATTTTTTAAATGCCCTCTCTTCCTGGAGTTCCTACAGCTCTCACTATTTCTGTACTACTTGTATGGGATCTTACTTTCAACTTCCAATAATTCTGCCTAGCAATAACATCTGACACGGAGATAGCACTTTTAAGTTACAAAGCATTCATTGGAACCTCAAAGAACCCTATGAAGTTCACAATAGTAATTATTATCTCCATTTTACAGATGAAGAAAGTGAGGTTCACACTTGCCTACAGACCTACTTCCAATGAGTGTCAGTGGGAGAACTCACAAGCCCAGATCTTCCTAACTCTGAGTCTAGCACTCATTCCTCTATATCACTCTACTTCCAATTGTTATTCAACTGCATTACATTAATTTAACTATTCAGAATTCAGTAATTGGACTCCTGGGGTAAGGATGGTACAATAGGAAGAACACTAGATTTGATACTAGAAGACAGGTTCAAATCCTGGCTCTGAAACTTAGGACCTGCATGATGTTGGGCTAGTCATGTCTCTCTAGGCCTTTTTCTTCTGAAGAAATGAGAAGTTTGAAATTCCCTTCTAGCTGTAAAATTCTGTGGCCCTACTAGTCAAACCTGAGCAATTTCCTAATTTGCCCTCTTATGCCTCTATGCATTCCTATAATCAGTCCCTGGGCCAGGAAAACACCTCCTCCTCATCTTCACCAGCTGAGACCTTTCATTTCCCTGAAGGCCCAACTCAGATGCCACGAAGTGTTTCCTGATTCTCTCTTCACCTGAACTGAAAATGATCTTTCTCTTTTCAAATTGGGTACAGAGGGTGGCATCACCAAGTGAGAATTATGATTGGTTGGATAATGATCTAAAAGATGAGAAGTTTCAACAGTGAGGCTGACAGAGCTGTAGGAGAGATACAAGAGAACATGAGAGGGTCGAGCACTGTAGCTGTGGTCAGAAAGGGGAACTAGATTAAAACTCCCTTGGAGGTGCTGGAGAATCTATCCATTTATGTGACTGCTGAACCTAGGGAGTAGGGAGTGAGGGTGAAACTTCTCTCTGGGGCCTAATTCAGTGCCTCACAGATAGCAGGCCCTTAATAAATAATTGAATTAGGTTCCTATCTATCTGCAGGGCCCTTTTAAGTTCTGGAGGAGACAGAGAAAGATCAGGAAAGATATTGTAGCTCACACATCTTGCCTTCCTAGACAGGTAAGGAACATGCCTTGCACTACTTCCATACCTCCCTCATACCTTCCATACCTTCCATACCTTCACATACAACAAGTGCTAACTAAATGCTATACTTACTGAAGGGAGAAAGCGTCAGTAACTCCTCCACCATCTCAGCTAAAGACAAAGCTGTCAAACCAAGTTGAAAATTCCTTTCAGTAACTGCAATTTACTTGAATGTCAAGGGTTTTTCCATAAAACCAGTACCCTTAGATAGCACCCTTTCAATGATGGATCTAAGCACCAAGGGTATGAACAACTTTATGTATCGATAGAATAGAGGTAGCTAGATAGTACAGTGGATAAAGTGCTAGGCAGAGAGTCAGGAAGACTCATCTTCCTGAATTCCTGAATTCAAATCTGGCCTCAGACACTTACTCTGCCACCCTGGGCAAGTCACAACTCAGTTTGCCTCACTTTCCTCATCTGAAAAATGAGGTGGAGAAGGAAATGCAAACCACTCTAGTATCTTTGCCAAGAAAACCCCAAATGGGATCCCAGAGAGTCTGACACAACTGAAAAACTTCAACAACAATTCATAGAATGCTTCCTACTTTTCAAAGTGTTTTCCCCCAAATGATGGAATTTTATCTTCGCAATTCAATCACGTGAGGCTGACATTACCAAACCCAGGTTAGGGAAAATGAAGCTCAGGTGCAGAGGGCTACTCACAGTCACACAGTGAGGTCCAAGAATGAATTAAGCAGAGAGATGACATCTCAAGATCTATAAGGAAGATAAATCGGGCAGTGAATGTTATGAACGATGATTTGAAGTGGGACTAAGTGCAGATAGACTGACCTGACCACGTGAGCTGGAACAGATATGAGAGAGAATCAGAACATTAGATTCAACAGGATTCTGCATCTCATTAGAGAATGGAGGGAGAAGAAAGATCCAAGAGAACATTAAAGTTTTAGACACAAATAAGTACTGTTTATCCTTCGTTTTGAAGGGGACCAATGACATCACAGAGTGATGTCTTGGCTTCCATAGAAATTGGATTTAAGTGAGGCAGAGTTGCACAAAGTCATTAGCCTCACTCTCACTTCCAGAGTCATCGAAGTCCTGTGGCAAGACGAAAGGCAGGATGAGGGACTATGGCCTGGGATACAGTAGATGACCTAGGCAGAAGATGACATCTTCGATGTCTGACCAAGCTCTAAGCACTCCACAGTGCCCACTTCAGCCATCTTCATGGTCATTGCACAAAGTATTCTCATCTGCCCATTCTGCCAGGGAGAGTCTTCACATGCTTGGGGTAGCCATCCCCCTAACTCACTGACAGTTTTGAGGCCTGTCAGTCCCTCAGCCTGGTTTAGCCCATCTGCCAAGACAGTTTTACTGTCTTGTGCTCACTGCACCTACTACAGCTTCTTGGAGCCACAGGTGAGAATTGGGCGACCTGTCAGACACCACAGGTAGGTGAGCAGCCCTGAAAAGGGCTCAGCAAGCCGTCACACCAGGGGTGCTAGTCCTCCCTGAACGCCTGGTACACCACACAGATAAACAGTGAAGTAGATTGAGAAGTGGATTTGGGAAGAATAAATACACGTACATATGCATTGCATGTTGAATACAAGTATAATAATAATTAACATTTATATAGCTCTTACTATGTAATAGGCATTGTGCTAAGCACTCTACAATTATTATCTCATTTGATCCTTACGACAACCCTGCAAAGTAGGTGCTATCATTATCCCCATTTAACAAATGGTGAAACTGAGGCAAACAGAGGTTAAGTGACTTGCCCAGGGTCACAAGGCCAGTAATTGAGGCTAGATTAGAACTCAGGTCTTCCTGCCTCCAGGACTAGGGCTCTATCCATTGTGCCACCTAGTTTCCTTATATTATCCTTCAGATATATACATGTGACAGTTTAAGGCTTTCTACTGCTATTGCCCTAAACTAAAACCAGTCTGTTTCATCCATTACTGATGTTCTGTCATGGGTGTGCACAGAGCTGGGGTGGGTGTGCCTAGGCCACACTCTATATAGACAGCCTCAGTTTACTGAAAATAAAAACCACCATGCCTCATCAAAGAATAAGACAGCAGATTAAGTTTCCTAAAGATGTGAGGTTTTAGGACAATTACTTTCTAATCTCAGCTGTGGAATTAATCACCACTGGTCTCTCTTCTCAACAAAATCTTACCCAAAGTCTCTGCCACCACCCTTATCCAGTGCTAGCACAATGATCACCATGCCCTCCTCCAGGCCCAGATATCCTGGGCACTATTTCAAAAAAGGAGGCAAACCAGCATACCTCTCAGTGAATAGGTGCCCTAGTTTCTCCCTCTTGGTAACCTCATTACCTCTTAGCCCAGTTTCATGTCTCTCCGCCACTATTTTAACAAGACAAAACTATGTATGAACTTTCTACTCCAGCTCCCCTCCCCCATAGGCCTTCTTTCACTCAGCTAAGAGAGAAGCCAGAAATTGAGAAGACTATGTTTGCATGTACACACACACTAGCTGAATGTGTGTGAATGAGTGCACTCATTTGAACTGTGGTTTGGCTTCCAAGGGGGGGGTAGATCAGAGGATTAGTAAGGGGATCTAAGCAAGAGCTTCTGAGTACCTAAGGCATGCATTTGAATGGAACCCAGGTTTCTGGTGACCTTGGACACCAGGAGGTCAGGAGCTGCTAGGGCAAGCTGGCATAAACTCAGAATCTTAGAATATTTGAGCTGGAAGTAACCTTAGAAGGCTTAGAGATCACCTAGCCCAACCTCCTAATTTTCACAGAGAACTAAATTCTGAAAAATCCTATCTAAAATGCTGGGAAAACTGATATTGACAGTAGGATTCTTCTCAATAGAGATCAAAGCCATTAGTCCCAGTAAACGTGCTAGCTGGACCTATGCCTTAAAGGAGTATTTGCTCCATTATAGAAATGGTGGAACTGAAGCATGTGAGGGAAGTAAGAAGGGAATTATGGTATACCACAAAGAGTATTCTGAATTTGAATTCGGGATCCTGAATTCAGAATCTACCACTTACTGTGTGGCCTTGTATAAGCCACTCCAATTTTATGGTGCCTCAGTTTCCTTAGCTATACAGAGATTGTACTATGTCATCTCAAATTCAGTTCAACAGACATTAATAAGCATCTATCAAGGCACTGGGGATACAAAGTATATATTCTACTGAGGAGATATAACATGTACAGGTAAGTAAAAGTGGGAGGGAGGGAGGAAAGAAGGAAGGAAAAAAGAAAGGATGGAAGGAAGGAAGGAAGGAAGGAAGGAAGGAAGGAAGGAAGGAAGGAAGGAAGGAAGGGAGATTTTTAAGTGCTCTAGGAAAACTTGAAGAGGGATGGAGTGCTGAAAGCTGAGAGGATTGGAGATGGTTGTACCTGAGCTGATCCTTCGAGGAACATAAGGATTCTGAAAGGCCAAGATGTGTGGGGGTGTGGTGGTAAGAGGTACATTAAAGGCATGGGGATTGGCATGTGTGCCTCCAAGGAGGTGGGAGACTCACTCATGAGAAGGGGTGTAAAACAAGGCTGGAAAGGGTAGGTTGGAGTCACTCTGTAGAACCTTGAATAGGGGAGTGACGTGGTCAGACCTATACCTTAGGAAAATTATTTTGGCAGCTGTGTAAAAAATGGATTGCAGAAAGGAGTAAGTGGAGGCAAGAAAACTTACAAAAACAAGTCTAAGTGAGAGTTAATGAGGTCCTGAACAAGAGTGGTACTTCTTGAGGGGCAGGAAGGAGACAAACATAAGTGATACGGAGGAAGCAGAGTCAATAATATCTGGTAATGGATTCAAATATTAGGGGCAAAGGAGAGGGATGAGTCAAAGATAATTCCTCAGATATGGTAAGCTGGCAATTATATGGTGATTCAAGGTTTGCAAAATGCTTCACAAATATCTTATTTTTAACCTGATGACAATTCTGGGAGGTAGGTGCTATTATTATCCCCATTTTAAAGATGCAGACAAAATCTGAATAGCATTCTTCTTGACAAAGAAAAAAAGAAACAAAATAAGAGTTGAGCAGTTCTGAATTTTCTCCACCATCTGTTTATCATCATGTGTTCAATTATCACCTCTGTGCAGCTGATTCCCAACTCTTTATATTCAGCCCTAATCTCTATCCTGAACACTAGGCCACATTATCAACTGTTTGCATCACCTTTCCACCTGGATGTCTCACAGCATCTCAGACTCAACATGTCCAAAATTCATTCTCTTTCTCCAAACATGCATCCCTCCACCAAACACCCCTATTTCTGCTGAAGGCACCACCATTCTTCCATTTAGTTGGATTCACAGCTTTGGAATTACCCTTAATTCTTCCCTCTCCCTGACTCTCCATAACTAGAGAGTTGCCAAGTCTTATCTCTCCTTCCATAATCTCCCTAGTATCTGATCCCTCCCTCCACTCCTACAGGGCACACCCCAGTCCAGCCCCACATCACCTAGACTATTGCAATAGCCTCCTAACTGGTGGCCCTGCTTTAATCTCTCTCCACTCCTATCTATTCTTCATAAGGCTAACAAATTGATAATCCTAAAACATAGATCTGGCCACGTCACTCCCTGCCTCAAAAATCTTCAGCAGCATTTTATGGCATCTAAGATAAAATTTTAAAATGCTCAACCTGACATCTTAAGCCCTCCACTCTGGCCCTCATCCACCTTTCTATTTTTATTTCATATTAGCATCTTTTCATGCATTCTCCAGTCCAGGTAAATGAGCCTGTTAGCAAGGCCTCACATACGACATTCTAGCCTCCATCTCTTTCCTTTGCACAGATGGTTCCCCATGCCCAATGGGCTCCAAAAGGCCTCTGCCTCTTAGGAGGAGCACAGCTCAGGAACCACCTCCTGCTCAAATCTTTTCTTGCCCTCCCTCCCCCTCCCCCCCACCAATTATTAGTGTTCTCTCTCTCCTAAAATTATTTTGCATTTACTTGTCTATGTAAATGTAAATTCCCCTAGTTAAAAAAAAAATTCTCCTAGTAGAATGTAAGCTCTTTGAAGACAGGGACTGTTTCATTTTTTTGTATCTCTTGGCCCTAGAATAGTGCCTTGCACAGAGTAGGTACATGATAAATGGTGAATTGAATGCCACTCTTTGAATTCATCCCCCATTCCATGGCCTTACTTCTATCCTCAGATCTGTATTGCTTGATATATCCACATGGGTCTTTTCAGATTGCTTCTCTCTTTTTGTTTAATCATAATTTTTTTTTCTTGATTGTTTCATCAGAATATTATTCTCAGGAGCTTCTCATCCTACGGCTGTCTTGCCTGTTGAATTTTATGCCACAGGCCAATGTTTTGATTTCTTTTGCTTACATGTATTTCTGTATTCTATTAGTGGTGGGGACAGTGCAGCTAGGTGGTAAAATGGATAGAGGGCTGGGACTGGAGTCAGGCAGACTCATCGTCCTGAGTTCAAATTCAGTCCCAAACATTTACTAGCTGTGTGACCCTGGGCAAGTCACTTAACCCTGTTTGCTTCAGTTTTCTCATCTGTAAAATGAGCTGGAGAAGGAAATGGCAAACCACTCTAGTATCTTGGCCAAGAAAACCTCAAATGAGGTCATGAAGAGTCAGACACGATTGAAAGTGACTGAACAACAAACAAAAATCACCAGGAAGTGACAGTGATGTTTTAAAATGAACAACCAATAAATCATCAAAAAAAAAATTCAGCTCTTTGAGGAGAGAACCTAACACAGAAGTTCTACTGATTTCTTTAGTTCAGTCACTAAATTTGTCTTAATCCTCAAATATTTAATAAAGATGATTAAAAACTTTAAGAAAAATTAGG